CCTCCTCCTCCTCCTCCTCCTCGGACGTAGCGCCCATCAACCCATGTTTTCGTCGGGGTCGAGCGGTAGGACGTAGCGCCCATCAACCCATCGTTTTAGTCTCGACTAGACGTAAGAGTGACCTTTCGCCGGAGTGACCTTTGGTGCGGGCACAGATGGGTCCCCAGATGGCTGAAAACGAAGCAGTAGCAGCTGCTTGCGCGCCCAGGTTTGGTCCCCCCGCGGCCCCCAAAAAGTCGCGCACCAAAGGTCACTCTTACCCAGGGTCACTCTTGCGTGTAGCCGATAGTCGGAGGTTGATGGACCTCCTACCCTGACGCGTCGGCTGGCGAATTGGCCATTTTCGGTTCGCGAGGGGGCGTCGCGGCCGTCGTTTTACGCGGGTCCCGGGTCCATCGGTTTCGGTCCCGGGCCGTTTTGCTAAAGGGAGTTTTTGTTTTAAGGGAGGTCTATCCACCGCCGATTTAGGGTTTAAGGTCTAGGGCTTAGGATCAAGAAGAGCGCGAAAACGTAAACATGTTGGACGCGTCCCATCCTAGATTGCAGATCGAAACAAGGAATAGGGAGAGCAGGAAGCGGGGGTAGAGAGCAGACATGGGGGCAGCAGGTAGCAAGACGCCAGGACGAAGACCTGGGCAGGAACCTGAAGCTCGTGCTCGAACTCGATATTGGGCTCCAAGGTCGAGTGGTAGGACGGGACTTCTTGCTTTTGAAGGGCGGCCTTCAGACGTCTGGGCAGTCGGTTTAGAGTCCATCCGTCTGGCTCATCCACAGCAGCGAACATATCCGTATCCGCTCCCTCGCGGTCTGGATTCCGGCACGTCACGTTCCGCGCGGAACATCCGCGAAAACACGCCCCGTATCCGCGGGGTCGCGGCGGCCCAGGTGCCCGGCCCGCGAGGCCGCGGACACGGACGTGTGTTTCGCCCACGAGTTCCCCACCTGCCCATCTTCTCGGGGGCGGAAAAGAGGGGGGTGATGACTAGGGGGGGGTGGATTTCATGGCGCGGGCCATGATTTTTCCTCAGATTTCACGGCGCCTCTTCTTCTTTTATTGCGTCCCTGGCCCCCCCGCGCTGGGCCGCGCACATGCCGCCGACCATGACTTGCACCCCCCCCCTCTTGGACACCCCCCTCTTGGCCGCTCCCGAAGGTGTTTCGCCCACGAGTTCCCCGCCTGCCCATCTTCGCAGCTGGTTTCGGCCTCACCGAGGGGCCCGTTCCTCGAGACATGGCCGCCTCCCGGCGCCGGGAGGCGCCGGGAAAATCAGCTACGCGAGCTGATTCTCAAACCCCCCCTTTGCTACCCTCGCCTTTCGCCCGACCCGATCTTCGCAGGCAGTCTCGCGTATTGGGCTCCAAGGTCGAGTGGTAGGACGGGACTTCTTGCTTTTGAAGGGCGGCCTTCAGACGTCTGGGCAGTCGGTTTAGAGTCCATCCGTCTGGCTCATCCACAGCAGCGTGCCCATCTTCGCAGGCGGTCTCGCGCCCTCGGTGCCCGCAGAGTTCTCCCCACGAAGGGAGCCGGCCGCGCCGAGGGGCAGGCGCCTGTTTAAGGGGGCCCATTGTTCGGGCGCGCCCCCCCGTCGAGGGTGGACGCCCCCCTCTCTATGCGTGCATCCCTCTGGTTGTGTCCCACCCCCCCCTCCTCCTCCTCCTCCTCCTCCTCCTCCTCCTCTTCCTCCTCCTCCTCCTCCTCGCTCCTCCTCCTCCTCCTCCTCCTCCTGCTCCTCACCCTCCTCCTCCTCCTCCTCCTCCTCCTCCTCCTCCTCCTCCTCCTCCTCCTCCTCCTCCTCCTCCTCCCCTCCCCTCCTCCTCCTCCGCCTCCTCCCCTCCTCCACCTCCTCGCGTAACCCACAAAGTCGGAGGTTGGGATCGCCGCGTCGCCATGCCTCGCAGCTTGTCGCAGATTTACGACTTGGGAAGAGCGGCCGTCGCACGTCCAAGCAGTCGACACAAAGTCGAGCTCTCTGAGTCAATTCTTGGCAGTGTTGAGCAGCTGTATTGCAGCTATCGAATATTTCTCTTCGAGTTCTTCTTCCATCGGGTGCAGGGAAGCTACACGAGTCATCGAGCTCTCTTGGTTACAGCTGGGTCATTCCCCTCCTCCCTTCTCCTCTGCCTCCTTCCCCTCTCTTTCCTCCTTTCTCCTCCTCCTTCCTCCTCCCCTCACTCCTCCTCTTCCTCCTCCTCCTCCTCCTCCTCCTCCTCTTCCCTTCCTCCACCTCCTCATTCTCCTTCCTTTCCCTTTCCTCCTGTTCTCCGTCGTCCCCCCTCCTTCCTTTCCCTTTCCTCCTGTTCTCCGTCGTCCCCCCTCCTTCCTTGCTGCTCCTCCGACTGTTCTCCATTCTTTCCCCCTCCTCCTCCTCCTCCTCCTCCTCCTCCTCCTCCTCCACCTTCTCCTCCTCCTCCCCCTCCTCCTCCTCCGCCTCCCCCTCCTCCGCCTCCGCCTCCTCCTCCTCCTCCTCCTCCTCCTCCTCCTCCTCCTCTACTTCCTGTCGCCAGCCACCCCACGAAGGTGACCTGGGGGCACCCCGACTGGGGCGGAGATTGCTCCGCAGTGCAGGAGCAGCTGCTGGACGGTCCTCCTCGGGCCACGTGGGTCGAAGCGGTTGGAAGAGGAATGGGGGGAGGGAGGAGGAGGAGCAAGGAGGGTGGAGGAGAAGGGGAGGGGGGGGGGTAGGTGGAAGGGGGGTGAGGTGGAGGAGGCAGAGGAGGCAGGGGAGGGACTTGAGAGGCGAGGGAGGAGGAGGAGGAGGGGGGGAGGTGTGGTGGGAGAAAAGGGAGGGGAGGAGGACCGAGAAGGAGCGCGAGGAGGCAGGGGGCGAGGGGCAGAAAGATGTGGAGGAAGAGGTGGAAGTTGGATGCTGCTGATGATGATGGTGATGATGATGCTGCTGATGCTGCTGCTGATGCTGATGATGCTGATGATGCTGCTGATGATGATGATGATGATGATGATGATGATGATGATGCTGATGCTGACGCTGATGCTGATGATGATGCTGATGATGATGCTGATGATGATGCTGATGATGATGATGATGATGGTGATGATGATTATGATGCTGATGCTGATGCTGATGCTCATGATGATTATGATGATGATGACGATGTTGCTGCTGCTGCTGCTGATGATGATGATGACGATGATGATGATGATGATGATGATGATGATGATGATGATGAGGAGGAGGAGGAGGAGGAGGAGGAGGATGTGGGACGTCGATCATCTATTGGCCTTTTTAGCAGCATGAGGGTGTGCGATACGAGACGTTGGGATGGGGAAGGCGCATCTGGGAAGAGAGGAGGGGTGCAGTGGGAGGATGAGTAGGTTGATGAGGAGGACAGCATCCACGTGGAAGAGGAATACAGTTACCAGGAGGACGACGAGGCAATGGAGGAGGACAACGAGGTGGAGAAGCAGAGGGATTCTTGAGATGGGGACGTGCAGAAGGAAGAGGGCCAGACGGACTACAGGGGAACTGACCGACGGCCTCCGCCGAACGCGGCGAAGAATGAGCGGCACGATCTGTCCGAGTCGCCAGAGGTCTGGGCGCCCCTGGAGGTGCCTGGGCCGGAAGGGTCCTGGAGTCCTGCGGACGTCTCCCCCGGAGTCCTGCGGACGCCTCCACGATTTCCAAAGCAATGTGCGCTCCTGCGGGGCCCAGACCTCGGATGTACATGTTTGTGTTGCTCAATCGTGGCGTAGGTTCTTCGATTGCGTCCCAGGGGCCATCAGAATTGAATCGGAGATGAAACTCGCCTCTGGGGGGGAGCCAGGAGGTTCATGGCACAGTCGAGTGACAGATCTCATCGTCGGAGAGCCTCCCATCAGGCCAGCTGCGATGGGGCTCGCCTCTGCTTGTGAAGCTTCCCTGTGAAAGCTACTGGGCGCGAAGGCGGGTGTCATATTTTCGGTTGCTCGGGGAACGCCGCGAAACTTCCCACAAAGCCCCGCAAGACGGGTTCAGGTGGCGCTATGAGCCGTGCGAGCCTTCTTTGCCCTATGAGGCCTCCGATCCCTAAGCGCCCTCGAAGAGGCCCCGAGATGCCTCTCCCCAAAGCCCTCTGAGGCCCATGAGCTTTACGGGCCCATGAGTCCATTGAGCTCCTGGGCCCTACGACACCTATGAGCCCGACGACCGCACGAGCCCTTCGAGCCTTACGAACCCTACGACCCCTGTCAGCGCTACGAGCCCTCAGTGCCCCATCAGCCTCATCTGCCCTATAACCCCTACGAGCCCTCTGCAACACCTACGCTCACGAGCCCAATGCGCGGTACGACCCTCTGTCTTCACGACCTCATACGCCTTCCAATCCCTACGAGCCCCATCTTCCTTATCAGTTCCTGAGCCCATACGACCCTTCCCGACCCTGTCACACCTACGACCACTATGAGCCCTATGAGCCCCATGTACCCTCCAATAACCCCCCGAGACACTCCTGCCATGAGCTCTACGAGCCTTTCGATCCCGACGGGCCCATGAGCCACATGAGTTCCTCAGCCCCACGGGACCTACAAATCCTATGACCACCTCTTTCTCTCCCCTCTCTCTCTCTCTCTCCCCCCCTCTCTCTCTCTCTCTCCCCCCTTCGCCTGCTCTGCTTCCATGCCGTTCCACGGGGCAGCAACTTCGCCAGCAAAACGCACAACAAAACAATGATCCTATGGGCCCTACGAGCCAGACGAGCTCCATGGGCCATATGAGGCTTAAGAGCCCTATGAGGCTTCATATGCCCTACGCGCCCCATGAGTCCCACGAGCCCTACGAGCCCCATGATGTCCATGGGCCCTACGACCCGCATTGACCTAAGGGCCCTATGAGCCCTATGAGCCCAATTTCGCCTGTGAGCCTATTAGGCATCTAATCCTTATGAGCCGTATGAGCTCTACGAGTCTTGTGAGCCCTATGAGCCCTATAAGACCTATGGGCTCGATAGGCCCTGTGAGCCCTATGGGACCAAGAGCCCGACGAGCCATATGAGCCCTACCGGCCTAGTGGGCCCATGTGCCCTATGTCGCATAGGGGCCTCATAAGGTTTACGAGCCCAATGAGCCCTATCAGCCTCATGGGCTCCACGGCCCTCGATTCCTAGAGTCTCAAGAGCCCCATGAGCCATATGACACTCGTCGGCCCTCTGAGCCTTATGACCCCGACGACCCATTCTGAACCTAATGAGCCTACTGGGCCCAAGTAGCACAATGACCCTTCTGAGTCCCACGAGCCTCACAAGCCCTGTGAGACGGCCCGCTCTATGAGGCCCAAGAGCCAGTGGCTTCTGTGATGCCAAGGTCCCCAGGAGCTTCCACGCTCAATGAGCTCATCAGCCCGACGGCTCCGGGCTCTTGGAACCTCATGACTCCAGGAGCCGCGTTGCCCGAAGTACCCCTCTTCCACATTCGCGCTCCAAGCTTTCGGGCACCACTGGCAGCGGAAAGCCCTTCAGGCCTTTGACCCAGAGGAGCCCATGGGTCCTATCAGCCCTGTGTGCCCGATAGGCCCCATGGCCGAGTACGCACTGCGGTGCTGGCGACTACCAGTCGCGGCTCGCCTCGCTGGCGCCATTCGACCATGATTATAATGGCCAAGCGAAGCGAGTTGGTAACATTTGGTGTGCATGTATCTATCTATCTATCTATATATATAAATGTACATCTACATAGGTGTGAGCCCGCGGTTCTATCTATACACTATATGTATGTGTATGTATGCATTTCCCTCTCTCTCTCAATCTCTTTCTATTTTTATTGTGTCGAAGCTGTGCTTGCACATAGGGGCTCTTATTTCTGTTGCCAAGAGATTGGATGGGCATGCCAGAAATTCGAAACGTTGTCGCCTGTCGCCGCCAATTGCCCCTTGTGGGGGTCTGCTACAGGTTTGCCATGCCACGTTGCCGCTCGTTGCCGCCGTTGCCGCCTCAGGGGCGATGCCAAGGATTCGCCACGTTGCCGCCCGTTGCCGCCTGTGTGGGTATGCCGAGGATTCGCCACGTTGCCACCCGTTGCCGCTTGGCTACTGTCTTGTGTGTTGCGTGGGTACGCTTAGGATTGCCACGTTGCAGCCCGTCTCCCCCACGTTGCCGCATGTTGGCGCTTCGTTGCTGCTTTGTTGCTGCCTCGTGCGTTGTGTGGGTCTGCCGAGGATTCGCCACGTTGCCGCCCGTTGCCGCCTGTGGGGGTATGCCGATGGCAACGTTCCCTCTCGTTGCTGCCTCGTTGCCGCCTCGTTGCCGCCTCGTTGCTGCCTCGTGCGCTGTTTGGCTGTGCTTGGTTCGCCACGTTGCCGCCTGTTGACGCCTGTGCGGGTATGCTGTGGGTTCGCCGCATTGCCGCCCGTTGCCGCTTGTTCGGATATGCCGAGGATTCGCCATGCCAAGTTTGCCGCCCGTTGTCGCACGTGGGGATCTGCCGAGGATCCGCCACGTTGCTAGCCGGTGCAGCCTCGTAGTTGCGTCGTTGCCGCCCCGTTCGCTGTGTGTATGCCGTTGATTCGCCACGTTGCCGCCTGTTGCCGCTTGTGGGAGTATGCCAAGGATTCGACACAGTGCCGCACGTGCCGCCTCGTTGCCGCCTCGTGCGCTGTGCGGGTAGCCGATGATTTGCCCCGTTGCCGCCCGTGGCGCCTCGTTGCCGCTCGTTGCCACATGTGTGGTTGTGCCGAGTGCCGCCACGTTGCAGGCCATGCCGCCTCGCTGCCGCCACACAGTTGGCAAGTCATGCCTTTCACCACATCGATTGCACCACACAGCCTGCGCCACAGAGCTGGCACCACGCAGAGCGAGTACACAACGTAGCTTGCGCGTCTACAGTGCAAGAAGCTAATGCTTGAGGCCCACGCTGTCCAACGTATGTCAGATAAGGTTGCTCCTGGGGCCCGAAGCACGTCCCCGGAGGCGGAGATCCGGGGCCGCTTCGGGGCTCCAGAGACGGGGGTCCATGCAAACATGGCGTCCGTCGGAGCGCCGGACCTTACAGAACCTTACAGAACCCTGCAGAGTGAGGGGGTTCATTGAGACCGGGGCTTGGGTACAGGATCATGTAAGATCCTGCAGGGCCTTACTGACCTGGGTTTGGATTGACCCATCTCAGCAAGTAGACCCCCGACCACCGTTAAGTGGGGCATGTCCCTCTACAGGAGGAATGTTCAACAAAAAATCAAAACATATGACAATGTTCTATTTGTTTCATACATCTGATTTCGTTTTCCCAACCATCCTTTGGTGTTGGGTCATTTTCCTTTTTCCTCCTTCCTCCTCCTCCTCCTCCTCCGCTTCCTCCTCCTCGTGCTCTTCGTCCTCCTCCTCGTCCTCCTCCTCGCGACCACAGGCCCGTGTACGTGGAGTTCGCCTACTGCTTCCAGGCACAGATGGGGGGACAACCAGGCTGGGATTTCGATCGAATCATAGCGTCGGCTCGTCGCGGAGAAGGATGCACCAGCAGTATTGAGGAGATCCACGCGGAACTGCTCACCATAGATGAGCCCGAATGGGTACGGCTGTGCACGAGACCCACGACAGACGAACTTTGGAACTCGACGGCTACACTTTTGGCCAACAAAGCTCGAAAGGTCTTCTGCAA